GGCTGGAAGCATACGTGTCACCGTTCCTCCCCAGGTTGCTTCTGGTCATGTTTCTCTCAGAACAGAAACCAAACCGGGATAAAGGTGTCCATAGTGGGCCTTTGTTGGTTTGTTATTTGATGGCTCTGCTGTAGCTGAGAGAATGATTTTGAATTCAGAAAATGTTATGTTCAGTTGTTCTGAATGAAATATCTGTGTACACCCAATAAACAATGTTTCCTTGATTTTCCATTATCACACTGGCTAGAAAAATAGGCTAAGAAGCCACAGCCTCAAATGGGAGCATTCATTTTGATAGTTGGATGAATTGAAATTATTTTCCATGCGCGTTGCTGTGGGTATTCCCACAGACGAGGAGGCAGGTAAGGTGACACATTTTGAAAACTCCAGGAATTTCACAATGAATGTAAATAAATAGGTTAAAAAGTTTGCTGGGAAAGTAGTCTTGTTACATGTCTGCCCATCCACATCATGCTATCCCATGTGAGAAAGCTGGTGTACAGATTCATGAAATCTGAGAGTCCTAAGTGTTAATATGTTTGAGGTCCTCTATAGTTTCTTATTACCTTTAACTTTAATGTTTTTCTCTGCATGTATTAGTCAGGGCTCTTTAGAAGAACAAACTAATAAAATGAGTACATATTATATTTTATATATAGATTAGGCTTATTTATACATATGTATTTATACATGTAACATATTATATGTTGCATAAATACATATACTAGATATATAAATGTATATGAGGATTTATTGCACTGGCTTCCCACCTGTGGTAGAGCTAGTCCAACAATAGCTGTCTCCTAACAGATTATTCAAGAAGCCTGCAATTGTTCAGTCCACATGGCTGGCTCTGTCAGCCAGTCTTCTTCATACCTGGTAATGGCAAATAATCAGCCTCTAGCAACAGGGAAGCGAGCAAGAGCTTCCTTCTTCCAAGTCCTTTTATATGTTGCCTTGATATTTTTGCTTGAAAAGATAAGAGTTTGTTGTAACTGAAAGCTTCTGTCCTACCAGCAACTTAGAAATAAGCACACCCAGACATATATGCTCAGCCAGTAGCTCAGGCTTGTTACCAACTAGCTCTTACACTTAATTAATCCATAATTCTTATCTATGTTCAGTCGCATGGCTTGCTTCCTTTTCTCAGTACCAGCATTCTCATTTTGCTTCCTCTGCTTCGAGGGGCTGACTTTGCCTTTTTTCTCTCGGGATTCAGTTTGGCTTTCTTGCCTATCTATTTTCTTCCCTGCTATAGGCCAAAGCAGATTTATTCACCAACCAATAAAAGCAACACATATTTACAGAGTACAGAGGGCAATCTCTCATCATTTCCCCTTTTCTGTCTAATTAAAAAGGAAATTTTTAACTTTAACTTTGTAAAATTCAATGTAACAAAAACAGGTACTAAGCAAGAATTAGAGTTATAATATTTATTTGATTTGTCTTAACAAAGTTAAGGAAAATACTTTATCATATGTTCTATCTTTGTGAGTCTAAAACTTTATATCTAATTTATCTTTTATCATAACTAAATGAAACTAAAATTATAACTATCTAGTTTTCAACTCTATCAAAGATCCAAGAAGGTTATAATATTGCCTAAGTAAACAGGAAGTGCATTGAAAACAACTTTCAAAATCTAGAAATGACAGAGACAACTGGCTGATTGCCAGTTACCCAAAGGTGTTCTGAAATGTTGGGCCATTTATCTTCTTCAACTTATAGGCCTATAGTGTTTGGCAGACTTCTAAATGAAGCAGGAAATTTGAAACTGTCTACCTGCATTGGCAGTTTGTCAGTCATTTTTCTCTGTGTCCTGCAGGATGTCTGCTAAGCTCTTCCATGAATCAGGAACACTGAAAGACTGTCTGATCTTGTTTAGTCAAGTTCAGCAGTCACTTCTCTGTGGGTCCTGAATGTCCAATTTTATAGCATACAATCCAGCTGTCCAGTCAAGAGCAACTTCTTGCCCAGATGACTAGCCTTGCCACATTGAAATCAAATTCCATAAGGAGTTTCTTCCATGCCCATCATCCTCCTGAAGTAATTGGTGTCCCAGGAGCAAACATGTCTCACTGTTAAGAAAAGTTTGTTCTAAAACATTTTAAATGTCATATTCTGTAGGTCCATGAAGTGTTTGAAGATTACCTATCCATCTGAAATATGTCACTGCATATCTAAGAAACCTGACTAACATGACTATAATTTTGACTATTATACTTGACTATCAATATGTATTTCTTATTGTACTCTATATTTCTAAATATGCTTTATAAACATAATACCTTAAACAAGAGTAGAAACATGCACATAGTATATAAAATTGACCTTAAATCAAATCTATACCAGTGTATTCCTTACTATACTGCCTCCCCTTTCTGACTTTAGAAAGAGATTGACTATGAATATTAATTATTTATGAACAACCCTCTTTAAGTGAAAACAAAAAAATATAAAAAAACATTTTGGGAATTTGGGTATAGTTTTCAATACTACTTCCTGATGATTGTGGATGCTAATAATCTTATGGTAATCCTGAAACATATTAGAATTTTGATTAAATTTTGGGTGTAGTAATCTGTGAGGCTGCATTGTCTCAGCCAGTTGCCTTGAAGCTGTTCTGGTTGTTGGAGTACCTGGGCCATCACTCCTATTGGAGACAATTGGGCCTTATTTGATCAAACCATATTAACTTGGAAGAAATCCATAGCTTCTCATCTTCTATGAAAACAAAAGCAGAAACTCTTTTCCAAAGTAACATATCCTTTGGCCCAAATTTCAATGTCAAGATACCTTTAAAATGTATTTGTTGATTTAGTTTAGCAGCCCCCACAATCAAATGTCTCTTTACAGTTAACTCATTAACAGTCAAAACATTCAAAGAAAACACAATAGTATACGAACCCAGACTCTGTGTGTTTTCCATTTTTGCATGGCCCATTAATATTTTTATTGCTGTATTTCTCCTTCAAGGACGTCAGTTTTATTATCCTTAACTTATTTTTATTTTTATCTATGACTCTGTCTGTCCTCTATCCTCTCACTCCCAAGCACATGTATACTTATCAAACACATTATGACCCATTTAGAGGCTTTAATTTTTTGTATGAATCTGTCCTTATTGTGTATCTGTATTCATTTTTGACTACTGCTGTAAATTGTTAAGTGGGCATGGCTAGGACCTACTGGTTCTACTTTGCTTGGCTTCCCAACACAGTGGCAGAGTACCAGAGTCATGCTTACCCTCCTCCAAATCTGTAGTTCATGGTGCCATCAGGTAGCATGCTGCCAGCCCACAAACCTTTTTCGTCTCTATGACTAAAAGCTAAATCAAGCCATACAGCGTGTGGCTTACTAGCCTCTCTGTACTGAACCCTGTGTGAGACTGTGGAAGCCCGCCATGCTGCTTAGCTCATGGCAGCTGGTGGCCAGCTCCATCCTGCAGGCAGTTGTTGGGAGATGCATCTCTGCACAGCTGCTGGCATGTGACTGTGAGACTAGGAAGCCCAGTTTGGCTCTGTTTCTGTGTGTTTAGAACCTTTTTAAAAGCTTTTTCAGGCTTTGTGGGGGCCTACATGCCCTGCATTGGGTGCCAGGTGTAACTGGAAGTTTCTGTCCCACCAGCAACTTAACATTAATAATATGTGTTTGACTGGTAGTTCAGTCTTATTACCAACTAGCTCTTACATTTAAATGACTTCTTACATTTAAATTAATTCTTATCTATGTTTAGACACATAGCTTGGTTCCTTTTCTCAGTACAGCATTCTCATCTTGCTTCCTCTGCTTCTGGCTGGTGACTCCTAACTTCATCTTTTTTCTCTCTGTATTCAGTTTAACTTTCCCACCTAGATATATTGTGCTGTGACATAGGACAAAGCAGCTATATTTATCAACCAATAGATGCAACACACATTGGAGCATGCAGAAGGACATCCCACTTAAATTTATGGTATTGTTGTTTACTTCTGTAGGCATTTAACTTTTAGATATTTATTTATTTATTTATTTAGTGTGTGTGTCTGTGTCTGTGTGTGTGTGTGTCTACATGAGTTCGTGGGAGCCATTTGTGGGTACCATGTGAATGCTGGAAACTAAACCTCAGTCCTTTTTGAGAGCAGTAACTTCTCTCAGCCTCAAACAATCTTGAGAGACGCCAGTACTTTGCTTTCTAATTTATTCTTTCCAGTTTGGAACTAGAAAGAATCTTAAGATGAATATTAATAATTTAACAAATTTATCATTAATTTAAACTTAATATTAAATATAACTGCATCATTGACTTTTTAAACCCATAGCCCTGTTTTTCTTTAGATTATAATAGCAAACATATTTAAATTATTTTTTGGCAAAAGAAGAACAGCTGCTCAAACTTTATTTCCAGCTAAAACTTGTGCATTTATGTTACATAACAGAGAAATCACTTAGATTTATTTCATGGAGGGAAGAAAATCATCAATATTTATGTAGCCATTTTTCTTTTAACTTTTTATATCACTTTATTTCCATAGTAACCTTAGCTAACTTAAAAATCCTTTCAAACTCAGAAGGCATTATGCTGAGTGAATAAGCCAGTAACAAAGGGTGAATATTGTATGATTCCCCTCACATGTGATGCCTGGATCAATCAAGTTCACAGAAATAGAATTAGAGTGGTGATTGCTAGCATTTGTGGGGGTAGCAATGGAAATGGAGAAATAAATAGCCTTCTAACCCTGAAATGACATACGTTATGGACAGTCAAATGATAGTTCAGTAGTAACTAATGCCATACCAGTATAAAAACTACACTTTAAATGAAAAATAAAGATAGATACATGTTACTAATTATAGACATGGAATATAGACTAATTTGTTATAGTAATAAATGCCTTAGATATCAAAAAAGTGACTTGAAATTAATTATTTTTAAGTGTTATGAATGTACCTGTAATAGAATTAAATTGTATCCGTATTATACTTTCCAAATCTTTTACAAAGAAACTTTATTATTTTAGGAGGAATTGTTGATAAGGATCTTCGTCACTACCTCAACTTACGATTTCAGAAGGGTTCTGTTGACCACGAACTTCAGCAAATCATCCGTGACAACCTCTACCTCCGCACGGTACCATGTGAGTGTCATGGCCAACACTCTTTTCTTTCTATGATAATCAGAGAAATGTTTAGCTATATACTTATTTTAAAGAAAATTTCTGTCACACAGACATTTTATGCACAGTTGAAACTGGAATGAGATTTGACATATGGAACTACAATTGAGAAAGCTTATAATTGGGGTTTTTGTGGTATATGATAAAGTTATGCAGAAATTTATAATTTTTAAGCTATAAAAATATATCTTAGTTACATCTCACATTGTATTGATAATAGCGATTCTAGACTAGACCACCACTTATTCTTGAATCATGACTGAGGCAGAACTCGACACCAGGAGACAGAAGGTTACAAATTCTTTGGTTGAAATCACTATTAACAGAATCTGTGGTTGATTTTGCAACAGGAAGTCCCCCAATTGTAAAGTCATACTATGAAATACAAATGTAGCATGTTCCATTACTTTCTGGGAAGTGATGATGAAATATTCTGACTTAGACTTCTATATGCAGTCTCTAGCAATTTCCATAAAAGAGAAGACATAATTTACAAAATAACTTCTGAGTCCCTGTTCTGCTTTTTTTTACATTACTCTATTAATGTTAGGACAAAGGAATTATGACTCAAGTCCTAGACCCTGTAAAGAAATCAAAATCCACTTTCTTCAAATGAGATCATTTTGACCGCCAAAAGCGATCCACACTCTCTAGAAATTCTGATATGTTGGTGTGTAATTTTTTGTTATAGCCTAAACATTAATAAACTCAAAACTGTTAGCTCTGGCAGTTAACATTACAAGAAAACTTTGATTAGAATAAATTAAGCAAGTAATACAAAATAGTACATACATTTGAATCACCAGCATTTCAAAAGCAAACAAATGAAAGCTTATATTAAAATATTAAACACACACAATGATGTGAAGACTGACTGAAAACCACCTGGGAATTTTAATCACTGGGGCTGGGTGGAAACTTGTCATCATCAGTCACATTTATCGTCCATTACTAAGTAAGCACACTTGAGATCTGTGATCTTGTTGGTTAAAGTAATTCCTATTCAGTGCATGTTTGTGAGTGAGTAGACACTGGGCACTTGCTTTGAAACTACATGCTGAGAAAAGTACACTCTCAGACATGTGAGTTTGACATTCAAGTGATGGGCAGAAGATGGATTAAAGTGACTGCCCTGCTCATAAGGTAACGGATGGATGCATTTTCAAAGCCTTGATGCTGTCAGTGTATCTAAGTGAGTTTATCTTTTGTGGCATGAAAGAAAGGAGGCCTGAAATACTAAATAAAGAGTCTTTGCTAAGACAACAGCACACATAAGAAAATCTTAATTAAATATGATGATAATGGGGGGATTTGGATTAGCTAATAATTAACTTTCAAAGTATCTTTCTTTAGAGTACCAAGGAAGGACTACTAAGAGTAAATATAAGGTAAATATAAGGGTAAAATACTGGATTAATTAGTAAACCTAGAAAGCTTCAGATATTATTATGGATCAAGGTCATGAATTCAATTAGAAATCCTTGAGTAATGCCTATAAAGGAGATAATTAGAAACCCAAGGGATCTGAATATTATCTGGAAATATTTGCTCTTTGAATTTGCAGTCACCACTCCTAATAACCAATTTCAATAACACTATTCTCAAACAGTGCTTCTGATTTGACATAATAGTGAAAAAATCTGATTTAAAGATGATTCTCATTTATACTATTAAAAAGTTCTTTCACACTGAGGACCCAGCTCTCAACAGTGTATCTCCTTCACTCATTATATCTTTTAATGAAGTATACAAACATTCTCAAAGAGCATGCAATAAATTGTGCCAGTAGTGTGAAAAATCCTACCAGTACTTAGAAACTTGCGAGTGTATACATCCTATCTATTGGCATTCATTATTGAATCTCATTTACTATACATTCTCCTGGGTCAATCTGGTCTCATTATTTGAATGAACCCACCATAAGAAGAAAATATGCTGCTAAGAACCATACCATTGCTCCTATATATACATACATTAATGTGAATGTTGCTATCTCTTGTTTAAGCAAGCATTGACACTAGAAGTAGGTCCTTAAAAAGTACATAGAGATTTGCTTCTTGAGTTCTCTGTAAATTTTGGAGATCAACCCTCTGTCAGATGTGGGATTAGTGAATATTTTTTCCCATTCTGTGGGCTGCCTTTTTGTCTTGCTGACTGTGTCCTTTGCCTTACAGAAGCTTCTCAGTTTCAGTAGGTCCCATTTATTAATTGTTGATCTCACTGTCTGTGCTACTGGTGTTATGTTCAGGAAGCTGTCTCCTGTACCAATTCATTCAAGGGTACCACCCACTTTCTCTTCTAAGAGGTTCAGTGTGGCTGGATTTATGTTGAGGTCTTTGATCAATTTGGACTTGAGTTTTGTGCATGGCGATAAACATGGATCGATCTGCATTCTTCTACATGCCAGTCTCCAATTATGCCAGCACCATTTGTTGAAGATGCTTTCTTTATTCCATTGTATATTTTTAGCTTCTTTGTCAAAGATCAGATGTTCGTACGTGTGTGGGTTAATACCTGGGTTTTCAATTCAATTCCATTGGTCTACCTGTCTATTTTTTGTGCCAATACCAACCTGTTTTCAGGACTATAGCTCTGTAATAGAGCTTGAGGTCAGGGATGGTGATGCCTCCAGACGTTGCCTTGTTGAACAGGGTTGTTTTGGCTATCCTGGGTCTTTTGTTTTTCCGTACAAAATTGATTATTGTTCTTTCAAGGTCTGTGAAGAATTGTGCTGGGATTTTAATGGGGATTGCATCGAATCTGTAGATTGCTTTTGGCAGGATTAGCAAATCTCCAAAACACCAAAGGACCCTATTAAAAAGTGGGCTGCAGAACTAAATAGAGAGTTTTCAATAGAGGAGTCTAAAATGGCTGAGAGGCACTTGAGAAAGTGCTCAACATCCTTAGCCATCCGGGAAATGCAAATCAAAACAACTCTGAGATACCATCTCACTCCTGTCAAAATGGCTAAAATCAAAAACACCAATGACAATTTATGCTGGAGAGGATGTGGTGAAAGGGGGACACTCCTCCATTGCTGGTGGGAGTGCCAACTGGTTCAGCCACTTTGGAAATCAGTATGGAGATTCCTCAGAAAAATGGGAATGAACCTACCACAAGACCCAGCAACTCCACTCTTAGGCATATATCCAAAAGACGCCCATTCATACAACAAAGATGTCTGTTCCACTATGTTCATAGCAGCTTTATTTGTAATAGCCAGAACTTGGAAGCAACCTAGATGTCCCTCAGTTGAAGAGTGGATAGAGAAAATGTGGTACATCTACACAATGGAGTACTATTCAGCAGAAAAAAATAATGGAATCATGAGATTCGCAGGCAAATGGATGACACTAGAAGAAACCATCCTGAGTGAGGTAACCCAGTCACAAAAAGAGAAACATGGCATGTACTCTCTCATATATGGATTTTAGACATAGATCTGGGGAGTGCCAGCCTACAATCCTATGGCCAGAGAGTCTGGGAAACAGAAACTTCATTTAGTGGCTGATCAAAGAAGAGGTAGACTCCCTTGGTTAAGTACTGAGCTGAACTCAAGAAAGCCAGTAACAGAGAGGGAGGACTGATGATCAAAGGGATTAAGACTGGGCTGGTATAACCCCCAGAAACAGCTGACCAGACAAAGGTTAACTCTTGAATCCCAGGCATCAGCCTGGGAATCCAGCATGGGACTGATCAAGACCCCCTGAATCTGGGTGTCAGTGAAGAGGCCTAGGGAATCTATTGAGCCTTGGGCAGCAGATTTATCAGTACCCATCCCAATTATACACACGGACTTTGGACTCCCATAGAACAATGTGAGGTGCACTCTCACCCTAAACTCTTGGGAAGGGTCTAGGCCCTGCCCTATATGAAATTACAGACTATGGACACCCCCATGGAGGGCCTCACCCTCCCTGGGGGAATGAGGGGATAACGGGGGGGTTGGGGGAGGGCACGGGAAGAGAGGAGGGAATGGGAGAGGGACCTGGACCTGACTTGGGAAGCAACCTCGTTTCTTATCTAAATTTAAACTGGAAAATAAAATATTAAAAAAAATTAAAAGAGCTCTCTTTTAAAAAAAGTACATAGAGATAAAAGTATAATCAATTTTGGATCATGTGGGCTGGGCTAGTATTTTTCTTCACAAAACTAGATCTAACCCAGTAACTGAAATTCCTCTGAGAACTGCCTCAACCAGTACTCCTATAAGAAAAGGAGTGCCAGACCCTAGAGTTGAATTTCCTTGGTGTTCAATATGCATGTAAGAGTCCCAGAGTCATAGGTACACATATTCATTCCCCATCTCACCTACATACACACCCTTAGTCAAAGCCAATTGTAACTACTGACCTCTTATATGCATCCTAAGGAGGTCTGTGTTGAGCTCTGGCCACATTCTGAGGTAACTGGGGGAAGGTGAATGTTAAATCTCTACTGGGCTTTACCTGTAAGTAATATAAAATCCCATGAATTGGTTTGTATAATCAAGGGTTGGTTGTATTTAGCCTATTCATTTAGTGTTCTCAGAACCTTATCTCCGAATTCTTTAAAAAAAGTTTAAGAAGCTGTATATCTAGTTGTGGAGGCATGATTTCTTTATGTACCGTATCTGGGTATGCTAACAATTGCATGTGACATCTTTGGTGTGAGCTATTGACTATTCTTTCCAGTTCCACCACAAAGGGAAGGTCTTCATGAACTGATTCCATATTTGTGTAGAGCATAAAAAAAGTCTCACATTGAAGGCCTTCTTTAAGTGCCTCTCGTTGCCAGTTATGCAGCTAATAGAGGGAAATATAAGTTTTTAGGGGACTCTGGCTACTAAATATGAAAGTTAATTGTTTTTAAATGGAGACTACAAACAACTCTTTCTAGTATTAAATTTCTGTATTGAGATTCTATTTGATTGCATGAAAGTAAAAATGAGAAAAAGATGGAAGCAGACCTGTTGTAGCTTA